TTGTTTGTCATTTCTCCGATCACAAATGCAGACATGGTTTTATGTTTACGCAGCGCAATGCAACAGCGTAAAAAGACAGTATAAGTCATTATAATCCGTAATTATGTCCCCACTGGATGCAACAAATGCCTCATTTATAATGGGTTTTAATGCTTTTGTTTCATCGCTCCGAAGCACAGCATCACAGTATGGTAAGGGGCGTAACAATTCCGTCACACGCTTGAGGTATTCGGCCAATCACAATGCACTGGATAGCTGGCCAATCAGAGCACACCTCGCTTTTCAGAACGATGAGCTTTGTAAAAATCGACGCGTTTCAGAAAGGCGGGGCATAGAGGAGAAACAATAATGTACAGTATGTGGAAAATAATGTGTTTTTTTAACCTTAAACTGCATGAACACATTTCATTACACAAAATAATGTTCTTTTTAGCAACATCATATGACCCCTTTAAATATATTCTGATTGGTTGAAAATTTGTTATGTTGCACAGCAGTTTCCATTGCTTTTCGCTAGAAACTATTTACATTCAACCTCATGAGAACAGCTGGTTAAAGTTCTTAAAATCAGTTAAAGAATGGAGCAGAATAGAATTATGAATTGCCTTTCAGGGATCACTAATCTACATCTACCTAAGTCTCAGGAACTATTATAATTTAATAGGATCTGCACTGCTTTGCTGATTGCTTTGTTATGCCGTTTTTTTACTGCTGCAGTTCAGCTAAATGAAACTGTTCAGGGTCTTTGAACTAAGTAATAGGCTACAGATCTGATTTATTCAAATTGACTTGATCTAACCATTACATCTGAAACTGACAATGATATTTTTCTTTTCACATTTCATTTGCCATTGGTTTCCTGTGCTGTTTCATTCAATAAAGCCAATATCACGTGCCAGGCAAATTAAAATTTAGATCAACTTGCAGCAGCTAATTCCTTCTTTTTTCATTAATAATTTAAAGTTAAAATGAATCTAATCATCTCCTAAGGTGCATGCTCTTGACTGTACATTTGACCAGAACTTTTTAAAAACTTGAAAATATTATGGCATGTGAACAAAGGTGAGCATGCATAACAGCTATCAATCTTTCTCTATCAATCTTTCCTGAAAAAAAGAAAATTACTTGTATGAGCTGTACGAAAGGCAACACCAGCTGAGAGCGACAGTGGAACTTAAAGTGATAAGTCAGAGAGAGCTGTTATCACGCTAATGTTCCCACTGTGCTGCAAAACCTCTTCTCCACTCTACCGCTGAATCTTAAATATTTATTACTGAAATACAGTAAAGAGGTGCATTCATATCTGCATTCTGTACTGAGGTTATATATGGTTTATGATTAAGAGTCAAAAACTTGAGATGTAGCCCAACTAGGCTTACACTCTTAAAAATAAAGGTTCCAAAAGGGTGTTTTTGCAGTGATGCCATAGAAGAACCATTTTTGGTTTCCCAAAGAAACTTTCAGTGAACAGTTCCTAAAAGAACCATTTTGAAGAACATTTTAGAAATCTAAAGAATCTTTTTTGACTATAAAGAACCTTTTCTGCATTTGAAAGGTTCCATGGATGTTTCAGGTTCTTCATAACCATTGATGCCAATAAAGACCCTTTATTTTTAAGAGTGTACTGAAGTTTTTGAGGTAAACTATATTTTGAAATGACATTTTATTTATCTGCATCTTAGAATGGATGTAACACTGATCTTAAACAAACAAAATTCATATTATGAGGTGTAAAAAATCCTCCTACACCCACAATGTGAGTTACATTCAACACTTGTAACTGTCCTACAAAAAATAAAAAAATACAAACTTCCAGACGGAATTTATGAGCTAAATCAATCCATGTTCTCAAACCATTCAGTCAACAGTGACCTGACCTTGAGGACCCTTGAAGCCGGATACACACACACATACACACACACACACAGTAAGATGCAGGCTTCTCAGAATTCACCTCGCTCACTGGTGTATTTACAGCCCCCTGTGCTGGATAAATTGTTCAATTCTATGATCGCTTCTGAGCATGAACATCATATATCTGTCCAGTACAAGGACTGGAGGGGGTCTGTGACAGATTGTAAAGCTGTTTCACAGATGATCAGAAGACAGATGCTTCTTTTGTTTGTGAGGAACTGGAGAGTAAGAGAGATGTAAAAAGAGACTGACTCACCGTCCATGTCCAGTCTCTGCATGATAATAGCCAGCTCCACCTCACTGGGCATGTACCCCAGAGAGCGCATGGCCATGCCCAGCTCTTGCTTCGAGATGAATCCGTTCCCATCCCTATCTAGAACTCGGAACGCCTCTCGAATCTCTGCAGAGAAACGAGACAAAATAGAAATGCAGAACAGTCTGTAAACACAAATAACTCAATTGACATACATAATTCAAGTGGAATGTGCATGTCATCGGTAAGCATTAGACGGTATGTATTATATCATGCTTGCTTTTCTCAGCAGTAACACAGTGTACTATTGCACAAACAGCAGAAATACTAAATGCAGCTCGTTCTGTTTTCAAAGCCGTGTATTTAGTGCACTGTGACTGAACGTTTATCCAGCATTTCAAAGGGCATCAGTGCCAGTTTTTCAGTTCAGCTCGGGTTAAGCAACCCACACCAAGTCGCAAGCGGCAACAACCAAAATAACACGCGTATCTTGTATCTTTTCTGAGGTTTATTACACTTTTTTGCCGTCTTAAAGACCCACCTTGGTGTTATTTTGGGATAAAGAGGTAGAGGAGCCTGTGCCTTGTAATATGCTGAACTGAGCGCTGAATTTTGACAAAGCCTGACATTTTTTTGCATTCCTTTAAATAAAGTATCTTTAACCCTCATGTTCTGTTGGCATCGGAAAGACCTTAAAGGGATAGTTTACCCAAAAATTCTGTCATTATTTACTCACCCTCATGTTGTTCCAAACCTGTATGAGTTGCTTTCTTATGTCGAACATAAAAGAAGATATTTTGAAGATTGCTGGTAATCAAACAGTTGGTGGTTGCCATTGACTTCCATAGTAGGAAAAAAAATACTATGGAAGTCAATGGCAACCACCAACTATTTGATTACCAGCAATCTTCAAAATATCTTCTTTTGTGCTCGACATATGTGCTCGGGTGAGTAAATGATGACAGAATTTTCATTTTTGTGAACTATACCTTTAATGGCCTTGTATTAATAGCTCATAACATACTTAACCTTGAAGTGTCAGGTTGATACTTTAGATACTTGAAGACTTTTCTTAATCTTGTAAGAATTAATTGTAAACAAAATTTGATAATATACTTCATATGGGCACCGTGAAAAATGTTTAGTTGGTGTCTAACAATAGAATAAAATAAAATAAAATGTTGGGGTCAAACTGAAATAAATAAAAAGACATTACTATAATAAGAGTGTGTTCAAACTTGTGGTTCAGTTCAAAAAAAGAAAATGATACATTTAGTCTTGGTTCTCCCAGCATTCACCTGGTCATTTTTAACAAAGAGCCTAAAGATACAAAACAAAAAGGCATAAGGATAAATTCACAACCTAATCTGACTGCTTTTATGACACATATTTTGCAATGGAGCCAACCAAACAAAGTGGGTCTTAGTTGACTTGTTTGGTGCTCTCCAAGGTTTAAATGGCAGCATTTACACTTATTCAAATGAAACACACTAATTAAACAATCACACCAGAGTTCATTTTAATTTAACCAAACCTGCCAAAGTGTGAACACACCCAAAATATCTGACCTTTCTGAAAGTACATAATAAAAAAGTGGATTTAAGCAAAGGAATTAACTACCATAGGTTATTTCATTTTAAAAACTACTATTTTACTCCTGGAACCTTAAGCATAAAATAACAAAAAGTCAATCTCATTAGAACATGTGGGTTAATTCCTCTGCCATTAGCAAAACCCAATCCTCTCCACACGCACCCGTTTCCTAGAAGCCTCTTTGTCTTGACTTAATGATATTTTACCTTCTTTTTATGCCTTACATGTGACTTTTTTTAAAACCAGATTTAGACAAATGTCCAAAGGCTTATGATAAGTTGATTCAGTCAGTGGCTCATTATTTAACAAGGTCCTCTTTATCTCCCTCAAGAATTTTTCTTTCTGCAAAGACAGACCTCGTCTGAACTGCTACTCTCATTTTTTATCCCTCATTTCATGAATATGCAAACCATAGAAGCTCCCACTGTGACCAGCCCTCGGTTCCTGGTCTGTCAAAACAATCATTTTCAAAGGAGGTGCTGCAAATTTTAATTCCATCTGAGAGTTTCACAGTTCAAACATTTCTTCAAATCAACCACTGTATTCACAACACCCTCTAACCCAGCAGTCAGACCATCGATTTTCTTCTTGTGTGCCCTAAGGCACTGCCTCAACACATGACCGGCAAAACATTCCAGATGAGGAAAGTGAGATTTCCAGTTGCAATGGACTGTAGTAGGGCAGGAACTGTAATGGGTTTATAATGTTTATCACATTGAAGGCATACGCTAATGAACCCTGAGGTTCCTTTGGTTGCTGTTATTAAGTACAACTGAATGACCATGTTAAAAACAGTGAGGATGAAGAAGCTATAAGTGAGGATGAAGAGTAAGTTTTTACCAAAAAAATGCTACATTTTTATCATGTAGTCAACTTCTTATTGTTCCAAACCAATTTGCAGATATTTGTCTGTGGAATTTCTTCATACAAATGAATTAATTTAGAATTATTGAAAAAAAAAATTAGTTCATAGTGGCCAGGGGCAATTAAACTCCAAAAAGGACACTATATTCCAAGTTTTCTACCATGTTTGCGTGAGAAAAAGGTTAAAAATCTTCCCCTCTGCTGAAGCTATGAAATCTCATTTACATTCACATTCAATTTCAAAATGTGCCAGATGCCTTGTGCCAGATATGACATAACTGTTTCCAAAATGGCATTTGGTTCTTGCATGTGTCATAACCAAAACTCATGCTTCATTTGAGGAAAGCATAGAATTAGATTTTTACTCTTCAGTGTCACATGATCCTTCAGAAATGATTCTAGTATGCTGATTTGATACTCAGTTGTTACTGGTCCTCAGTTATTAATAATAGATCTTATTATTATCAATGTTAAAAACTGTTTTTGCTGCCCAATATTTTTCGGTAACATTTTTGATGAATTCTGTGATGAATAAAGTTCAAAACAATAGTATTTATTTGAAATCGAATTTGTTTAGTAATGTAGTAAGTAATTGTAATGTTTTTATTGTCACTTCTGTTCAATTTAATTCATATTTTTACTGAATAAAAACATTAAGTTAGATAATAAGAAATGATCAGAAATAATAATAAGAAATGTTTCTTGAGCACCAAATCAGCATACACTCTTAAAAATAAAGGTGCTTCAAAAGGTTCTTCAAGCGATGCCATAGAAAAACCATTTTTGGCTCCACAAAGAACCATTCAGTCAAAGGTTCTTTAAAGAACCATCTCTTTCTTACCTTTTTATAATTAAAAATAAACATAATTCAGATGTTAAAGGTTCTTTATGGAACCATTTAGACAAAAAGGTTCTTCTATGGCATCGTGAAGCACCTTTATTTTTAAGAGTGTATTAGAATGATTTCTGAAGGATCACTGAAGGCTGGAGTATAAAGATGTTGAAAATTCAGCTTTACATTACAGAAATAAATTACAATAGAAAACAGCTATTTTATATTGTAATACTATTTCACAATAGTACTGTTTTTACTCTATTTTGAGCACATAAATGCCTTAGTGAGATGAGACATAATTAAAAACATTTAAAAATCATATTATATTTCCAAAATTTTGACAAGCACTGTATATATTTTGATGATTTAAAAAATGTTGAGCCCTAATTTACAACAATATTTATATAAAAGTGTTTTTTTTCTCACTTCAAATATAAATAAATAATGTTAATGATTTTTAATAAAAACATTTGTACAACCTATGGCCCCCACTGTGAATGTTTGTCTGAGGGCTCATTCTTTCAAGCCATTGATTTTTTTCCCCTGTGAGCATAACAGGGCTTTTATTTAGTAAAACAATGACAGTGTCAAGGTAGATAAGTTGCTGTATAATGTAGTGGCACAATTGTTCATGGATTGAAACGGTGGAGCTGTTTCTAGCAGCCTGCCAAAAGATGAGAAATTTTCCACAGGATTTAGGTTTTGAAATACTGTCAGGGCATCAATGCTTGAATGTGTCTCGAGTGTCTGGTCTGTTTTACTCATTTTAGGCTCCAGTGCTGTCTAAAATACCTCAAAACCCAAGCTTTTCCAAAGTTTCCAAAGTTATAATGGGGAATCCTTGATTAATTCTACTCAGAGACACAAAGCCTCTGTTGAGAGCGTTTCATGTGAATTAAGGGAGAATTACGAGGAGGTGACAGAGGGAGTGAAGCAGCTAATTTGTGGTGATGCTCACCAAGGACGATCCCTAGCTGAACAGCAGGGCTCTGTGCTACTGTAATTACCATCGATATTAACAGAGGCTTTAGCTGAAGGCAGCTTTGCGTGCAGTTTGATTGATACTGGGTCCAGCTAAGGGCAGCTACACATGAATATTTCAAAGAGCCATTGATAAGTCGGTTGGTTCACTTTTGGATATCAACACCATAATGTTAAATTTTTTGGGATCAGTAATTAATACTTTTATTCAGCAAGGCTGCCTTAAATTAATCAAAACTGACACTGTTTGAAAACATTTTTCAAATAAATGGTGTTCTTTTGAACATTCTATTCATCAAAAAATCCTGAAAAATGTAGTTTCCACAAAAATGTTAAGCACTGTTCTTATTTTTAATGTTATGAAGATATAATACTTGAACATTTGAAAATGTAGTGAATGCATTACATTTTAAAATATATTAACATTTGATTATTTTACAAATTTAGCTTTGTCATCACAGGAATTAATTCCATTTTAAAATATATCAAAATGCACAACTAATTAATTCTAATAATAATTCACAAGCAAATGCAGCCATGGAGAACATAAGAGCACAATTTTTTTTCAAAAACATCTGAACGATACTGTACATGAAGCTCATAAATAAAAATATAATTTAACACAGGCCATTTAAAATAGTCAACACAAGGTCATTTGAAACACGTCAGTTCAAACAGTTCCATTTCTTGGCATTTACTTGCTAAAAGACATGCACATTACAAATAACCTGGGTCAAATTGTACTGTATGTTGTTGCTTTGGGAACGGATTCTGAAGTACATTATGCTGAGGTTGCCAGAGTAACCTTGACAAACATTCTATTCCAAAGCCTGTACATCCTAATCTGGCCCATATCTAATTCTCAGGCAGTGTGTGAATGCTGATGTGAATAGATATTGGGCGAAAGTGCCG